CACCCACCTCATTTTTTCATGCAGCCGTCTTACAAAAACTTTAGCTGCCAGCGGCTGGGATTAATGATTGCACTGCTGCTGGTTTATCAGAGAGCAGATTATCTTCCTCTCTGTCACTAGCATGCTACATTAGCCCAGAAACCTCTGGAGCATCCTTTACAGGACGTACTCACCATGTTAATGCAAGACACTTAATAAACGAATCTAAGGGTCGTAAAGATCAACGCAACTTTTACTTTAAGTAAAAGTTGCCCAAGCTGATGTATCCCTCTAAAACAATCACATGCCCAATAAGTAGCATATGATGTCAGAGTGCCACTACATCTGGAGAATACTCCAACCTCACAAGCCTATAAATTTGAAATAAATCTTCACATATTTAAAATCTTCAATCATAGTTTAGCTGTTTCCAGTTTTCTGCTCCAGCATATGAAGAAAATTTGGCATTAAACGGGTTCCTCTTAGGTTGCTCTGACCTCTTCAGCTGACCCTCACATGTGAAACCCTTTCGAGGAGAGATAATGAGCACCCTGCTCAGTGGGAGTCATTGCCTGGGGTGGCGATCTGCCTGGAAACAGGTTCTCTCTCACGGCTTTGTGCGGTAGTTTGTGCACCAGTCCCCAGAAGTAAAGACAGCTAACAATAACAGGATGATTGTTGCTCGGCTGCAGCAAAGTTGACTCTTTATCCTGACCCGTCCCCTCATGTCAGCCCCTGTGTGACCATGCGCATCCAGACACACACAAGGTTTGTGTTTACAATAACCCAAGCCAATGACTGCTTCACAGAACTGACAGGCAGATACAGCACGAGGGGGCTTTGATATTTGAGTCGGCTGTCTGTCTTTCTCTGTACCTGTTCTTTCAGTCAGGCTGCTCCTATCAAAGATAATAGGACCCTGTTCCTGCTTCAGTTTGGAGCCTGAGAGAAACTAAGATGATGTACTTCTACTGAAAGTGCAGAATGACATTTTGATAATCCAGGAAAAAGGTCAGTGAGGAAGCTATGGTGGTGCGCAGTCTGACAAAGGCAAAGTGAACCCCCAATGCCTTTTTTTTGGGTCGACAGAAGACATTAAACAAAACCCGGATTTTTATTCAGCAATCATTTGTAGCAGGAAGACTTTCAGTGACAGCAAAGATGAGTCTGACAAAGGCACTCTCTAAGAGATGTCTCAGAGTCCCAGGAGCTGGAGGGGATTATGTAAGTCACTCAATATACTGGGTCACCCAGTTGTTTTTGACATTCACTACTACTGTACCAGTGCAACATCCGTTGCATTCTGTAGATTCTGTCTGTGGTTCTGCTCCATTCATTTTTAAGCTTGATTGTGTTTTCAAGCTTGTATTACCTGGAATATGTGGTTTAACCCAAGACGGTTTTAAAAAAGCATTCTGAACCGAAACAACATCCACATGAAAAAAATCAGTCAGTGTTTAACAGTGATTTCTAATCAGAGAGTAGGTGACTGACAGTAATAAAGACACCATCAGGAACTAAATGAAGCTGCCAGGTTTAAAGAGAAAAAATGCTATGACTGTCAGTAACTGTTGTGAATTTACTGGCTTTTGCCATTAACTGCATATAGTTTCCATGTTTATGTTTGTTGCTATTATCTTCCTCTCTAATCCCTGCAGTGCAAGTAGCTAAAGCACCACCAACACCCGATAACATCACCAGTTCATATTCTTATCCAACGTTTCCCGAGTTTAGATAAACAAATATGACTGATCTCCAATCACTGAAAACAAAAGCACTACGCTAATTTTACCCTTCCCCTCTGAGCACAAGCTAAAATCAGGAAAACCTCTGGCACTTTGCTCTTTCTCCAGCTGCACAGACAATAAGGAGTAATAAGGAATGCATCATATGTGGGTGGGTTGCTTTAGAAAAACAGCAGAGCAAAACTTGGCAAACATGAATGATGTTCCTAGCCCTGCAGGCCATTGCAAAACACTACTGCTGAGCATGAAGATAATGGCAGTACTGTCAGGACAGGTGGGATATTTGGCTACTCCATGGCATGGCTCTTTGTTTCTCTGGTAGAGTCATATTACTGCCTGGAAAAAGAAAAAAGGGAACAAGCCTAGCTCGTTCAAAGTCACCCAGCAGTTTATCCGAGCAAACAAACGCTAGCATCAAGATACGCGTAGAATGCTTTAAAGTACGAAGGTGCTGGGATTTATTTTTTAAAATTATTTGTATAAAAAGTCATTCTCGAGAACAGGCTTTTGTGAAAATACACCTGCCACTGGACGGCTTTGTGAAGCTAACGGCGCAGGCTCGTTCAACACGGAAGTTCAGCGATGGCCGTGTCAGAGTAAAAGCCGGGCTCGTACATCAGCGTCTGTACAGACTTTGTTACGAGGTTTTAAAAAACGGGCTTTACATCTAAATGTGCCTCAAAATTCTGAAAAGTAACATGTGGGTTTTCCTCAGAGCCTCCGTTTAGTTGGAGGCACATTAAGTGTAACTCAATTTTTAGGTGTGACCGGAAACAGGTGAATATTTCCGAGGACTGTCAGAGTTCCAGCATAAAGGAACTGTCAGCTTAGACCATGGCTTTAACCAGACTAACTGGGCTTTTTCTCTGGCTTAGCCTCGTGGCAGAAACGACCAAGGCCCCAAGCAGTCAGTAATTAAACTTGTAAATTAATAAAAGAGGCGATACAGTGGCTAAGACTGCCCCCGACAACTGAGCTGGTACACGGGGTCCGTGCTCCAGGAAGAGACGCGAACATCCCACCTTTAAGGAGTTAAACATGACAAATCAGGCTGTTCAAACAACACACGGATTCAATTTGACGGCCGTGCCAGGGGTAGATGCGTTTCAGTGTGGTGCTGAAGGAAGACGTAGCCGTTGCTAACTTATTTTTCCAAACGATGTTCGGCCTGTTTCTCAGGTCGCAGCATCGGCTCGGTGTTGCAAACACCCACCCCTCCTGCACCATTTCCGTGTTTCAAACGGGATCATTTCCACGAGCCTGTGCCACGTCAAAAAATACACATATTTTCTTACTCTATTATAAAGCAACACAGTGACCCCCGTACGGGCAGACAGCCTGTGGTAAACAGAAAAGCCACTATCTCGGCTAAACACTGCGACATTGTTGCAAGACAGCCGCTTTATAAGTGAAAGGGTGCATGACGTGTCTAAATCAATGAGTCCAAAGCAGGAACATTGTGATGCTAAAACAAACGAACTTACCCAATGCTACCTCGCAGGCTTTGCGCAATTGTGAATGGTGAGCCTTTTTCACCTCCTTGTCGGCCAAGATCTTTTCTAAAGCTCGTGTAAGGAACATGTTTTTCGTCTTTTTGCCCTCATACATGTCGCACCCGGAATTTGGAGAGAGGTGTTCCCTGGTCCCAAAGGAGGGGAGGGGGGGCTGCAGCCGCCTCGTATGGAGATGTATTCCGTTACGAATGTCTGCCGCAGAGTCCCGAACTGACAAACATAAATAAACACAGAAAGTGGGGTAAATCCCTCAGATTGCCTCTAACGACCTGCCTCCTGCGCCATGTTGGAGAGAGGAAACGACGTCACGTACGTGTGAGGAGCCACGGCCGCAGTGAGGCAGCAGGGAGAGGATGTGAGAGCTGTTAAGTCCTCTCACAAATCCACCTCTAAACCCACGGGGAAGACAACCACCGTGGCACAAAACGTGTAGATTGAACTGTTTTAAATTTAAACAAATAAACCCCTACACCCAAACGTATCCACGTTTTAAAAAAATAGAATAAACTTCCTTTGTGAAGTCGTCCTTCAAAGCAAGTGCTTGTCCTTATCAGGCCACAGTGAGATGTGGAAACTTTATGAAAGAATGACGTTTTTAACCAAGCCACAGCCAAAACTGTAGATTAGATTAAGGCTCATCAGTGACTCTGAATCGGACGTTGATGAGTTCTTGTCTTCTTGACTAATGCAATAGACAGCAACAACAACAAATAATGGCACCTTAAGGACAGTGTCACCTTTGCCACACACACACACACACATTCAGACACATTTTGGGGGCACCCTAAAGTCGAAAATATTGTGTTGAGTCTGGTCCCACATTAGTTACCATGTATTTACTATCTTTGAAAACATAATTATACGCTGATGTGGGATCTTTCTTTGTACTCAAATCAGATTCCAATAACAAATATGATTTAATAATTTACTAGATTAGCAAAAATGTAATGAGACAGTTTTTTTTTTGAGCTGCCATACCTTTCCTCAAACTCGCAGTTTATTATTTTAATATAATATGGCCAAGCTTCATTCTCTTAGTCCACAGAAAAACAAACATAAAACAAGTTTCAGGACACTAAATGCACATTTTTAAAAACCACTCGGGACAATAAAAAATGTTTTTATTATACAGTGGTATTCAAATTGAGAGAAATTATCCAGGTTTTCTTGACTTTAAAGTTGGTTATTTTAACTTGTTAGGGCCAAGTCCAATAAAGAAACACCTTACCTTATTCTCGTATCCTGTGGTTGTCTGTGTGAAAAAACTCTATAATGCTTAATAAAATATGTAGAATTTTCAAAGATACATTTTTCTGTTCTAATAGCTTTTCGTGTTGAAACCCGCGGTTACTTTGCTGAAAACGTGACACCACCTGGAACTGTGCGGAACTGTGTGTTCCATATTGCCACAATACTGCTTACAGCCTTCAACATTTAGCAGAATCCAACCACAAACACATCCAGAAAATCTGGCAGCTTGACAATACGGATTTGGCAGGTTGTAGGTGGTGTAGCTCACTTTGGACTTCCTGGTATGTCAGTTCCACTGTTTTCTAAATGCATAAATAAGTGCAAAGCTAGAGAGTCGGGCTCCTGGTCATGAAATACAGGGATAAAAAGATTGTAAGTTCATCATCCAAACACCACTCTTCTAGTATAATGTTTACTATCAAACATGGAAACAGACCTGTGTTCAAAACATTTACGGATCACAATAAGGGCTTAGATTATGACATTTCAGGAAAACCAATCTCTATAGTTATAAAAACATTTATTCAAGTCAGAATGAATGCATTTATGAACATCTCATATTAAGTATACAACCTATCACAAGTAAACATTTCTGACATCATCATTAATCCATACCTGAGTAATGAAACCGTTAGCGACTGAAGGGACACATTATCCTTTCTGTTTTCTACTCTGAGGAAAAAATAAACCATTCTCACAAAAATACCTATTTATGTTATGTTTTTTGTATTACATTTACAAAAACTTTGCAGTAATGAAGGCATTCTTACATTGTTTCATGGCTGAAAAGCTAAACTGGCACTTGATAAGATTTATTTAATAAGCCGGTCTAAGTAGAGAAAAAAAAATTATTAGAAAAATGTCCTATAACAGCTTATTTTTGGAAAACATGTTTTGAAGACATAAAAATATTTGCTGTTTCTTAACAAAACAAGTGCTGCTGTATATTGGTAAGTGTTCACATGACCAAAGTTCACTGTAAAAATTTGAAGAACGCAGCCTTACTGTATGTAAACAGCCTCTACCCACCACCAGCGTTTCTTATCAGAAATTAAAAATAATGAGAAGAAACCGCAAAATACAAACAAACAATCCAACTCGTCTGTTTTTCATCTCTTCACCCGATAAGATCAAGGAGGAAGAGGAAGTGTCACAGGAATGCCGCAGCAGTCGTCGGATTCATATATATGGAAATCTGTCCCTGACTTTGTCACACTTCCTCAGCAGACCCGATGCGATGGCTTTCACAGCTCTCATGGTTTCCGTGCAGGTGGGGTTGATCTGCGATTCAGGCAGCAGGAAACCAAAGTATCCTGTATCCCTCAGCTCAAATGCAAAGGCATAGGAGATGCCATTCCTGTAGGCCCAGTCGATTGAACTGCCAGACGTAACATCTGTGAGAGTAGAAAAAACCCCAAAAGCTCCAGTCATTTAGTGTAGAATAAAGAAACATTCATTTCAAGACGCTTTATCGAACAAATATGAACCAATTCCCCCATTTGCAAAGAATATATATAACCCCGCAGTCATTTTTAAAGGTATCGTTTAGCAAAGCTGGATTGATACCATGACGACAACACTCACACAGAGTTGTGGAAGCAGGTCCATATCTGTACTTCACTCCATAGGCTGAATACAAAGCCGACACCGCATTCTGAGCTGCTGTTTCCTGGAGTGGGAGTTCATAAACACATCTATGACTCGCTCGTTAAGGCTGATCATAATCAATGCTTTGTTAACCCAAATCTTTGGTGAATGGATTTTGGCCGGTGATGTCTTACCACGCAGTTGAAGTTGGGGATTGTGGCATACTTGTAGGAGTATGGGTAAAGCAGCATTTGAGCGTATGCGTGGATGGATATGTATGCTTTCATGCGCTTCTTGTGCTTGCGCAGGAACTTGGCGACAGCTTTGACTTCCGGTTCAGATTCAGGGAAGGGGCCGCAATAGGTGTCATCGCATGGATGCGAGGAGGCCCCCTCATCTGGGGAAAGAAAGCAGGAGCAGAAGCAACTTTAACAACTCCCTAGAATGCCTTAAGCAACAGATTGGGAATAATAAATCCATGTTGTTGTTTTTTTTTTCTCAGAAAAACATTATATGAAAGAAGTAGATCCCTGTCAAAGCAGCGACAGTCTCCCTGCACTAAAGAAGACAGAAGGCAATGTTGTGGAGCAAAAGTAAAATACAGTGATGGAATGAGGCCACCACAGTGATATAAAATCAGTGATAAGACAAGCCGGTATCGGTGAGGCTCCCTAAGATTTTCCAGGCATACTCAGATCCCTGCCAAAGCAAAAAGAGCACACAAGATATCTTTACCAAAAAGTTTCACACTTATTCAATCCAAATTCCAATTTTTCAACATGCAGTAAACAACTTACAGAGTAAGTTCAAACCCTTGTTTTTGGTCAGTCGGATCATACTATGGAGGGCTGTTATTCCCAGAGTACAAGTATATACTGCTGGTGTTGGCAGTGACCTCTGTAAGGACTGGCTGACTCAAATACCGCTCCATTGAGAATTAGGCATTGTGTGGACACTGAGGTCGGGTGACCATCCTGAGTACAACATTCGCCTTCCCTTTCCTGAGAAGTTATTTCACAGCATTCATTCACATGAGACATATGATATATATTCAGAAGTGTATTTTTGTGCATCAGAAAAAGGGTCCCAGTCAGCCGTATAAACAGATTATCAAGTCAGTTGCCTTGCGGATCAAAAACTTCAAAGCACTTACCACACCATTTCACCTTCCAGTTTCTGTTAGCATCCACCCCTCTGCAGTGGAATTTGTGGATTTTTGACCGTGTCTTCCTCCAGAACCGATCCTGCGGGAAAGATGGACACTTTCAGTCAAGCTCAGCAACTTTTCTGACATCATTTAAATAATCTATCAGGATCTCATCTGGTCATGCTAGTCTGAGAGGGCTTCTAACCCAAAATAATAAGGTGACTATAGTAAGTTGGTATTTTCCATAAACCATTAGTACACTCAGATAGAGTGACTGCAAACAGAATTCAATCTATTTGCCATACTAGATATTTTTCAGTTTACCAAACACTTTCTGTTTACTGGGCAGAAATAACATGATCATTACACAACCATGAGTAAAAGATAGCTTCAAAAAGCTGCTGAAAGGGCCAGTGTACCGTGTTCCAGCTGAAACGATACCCGTCCACGTTGAAGACGGGCATGATGTAGAAGCTGAGCTGGTTGAGGAGTCGTGTCATCACAGAGTCATACTTGTATGAGCTGATGGCCTGTTAAAACGAAACACAGGGACTAATGTGGCATACCTAACAAAGACACATTCAGATTGGACATCACAGTCCCATTTATTCATATTTGGTATTTTAGAGTGTGAGCCTTATATCTTAAGACTGTTCTTTGAGTGCACATGTAAAGCAGGTTAATACTCTATCATGAAATGGGGATTGGAGTTAGGTTGCCTGGCCACTGGGTTAATACAGCTTAAACATATTGTTTAATAAGACTTAGGCCAAGGTTAATGTGCTTAAGTCTTGAACAAAGATGGCAGTCTGACCTCCAGTGGTCTTCCTCAGGTATTACAGCACATAGTCTAGCTCGTGTTGGATCAGGGTTTCTTTATGTCATGGGTCAAATGTTTTAAGTTGTGCAGCCATAATTTTTCCTTTTAACATCAGTCTGTTTCTGGGTTCCTTCTGCTTACTTTCCTTCAATCCCTCCCAACTGTCCTCTTTTATGTAATTCTATTTGAGACATCTCTGACAAACTGAGGTCATATTTTGCCCTTCTTTGGATTTATCCGCTTGTAGTATGTCTCAATTTCTAAAATGTTGCGGAGAAGCAATGGCCAAGACCCATAAAGAGATGCATCAGTTCCAGACCACATATCTGTGTGACACCAGTTTTGAATGAATGCGCTGAAGTAAGAACGTGTCATTTTGTTATATGCTTGTTAGTCTTTCTGTCATCCCAAAGTCCACTGCTCACATTTCAGCTTGGAGGGAATGGGGCATAAGCAGAGGACGTAAGAAATGGAAGATGTACATTTCTTAGACCTAGTTTTTCTTAAAAAAAAACAAAAAAAACACCCTCCACTCACCTACATATGAAACAGAATGCACAATTTAAAAGAGTCCCAGACCTTTGACTTCTCTGAGAGACTTTTCTTTACAACTGTTAACTTTCTGGCTCTCAAAGCCCGCTCATCTGCAGCATAACAAGTATAAAATGATCTATTAAAAGCTCTTGCAGTCAGTGTCTGGCTCTGGTTTGGCTCTCACTTCAGAGGATATGAACAGAGAGTAAAATGGCTGGATGGAACTTGTGTAAATGTCTGGGCCAACATCTCAACTATAAAGGACATTCTTCAGTATTTGCATAACTGTGCCTGACAAGTTGAACAGATGCTTGTATTTTATTAAAGACCCAATACATCGCTGATTCATCTCAGCAGGGACTCCATCAAGGTGGCCAGCAAGATGTTTGTTGCTTTGAAAAATGTATCTCACATGCTAAAGCTTACAAAGCTAGAGTTTAGCCAGCATTTGACCGTCCAATTTGCAGGCTATAAAAGGAGACTACCTCTTTGACAAACCACTGGCAGAAAGCAGGTCCTATCCACTCTCTGGCGTGAACCCCACAGTCGATCCACACGGCTTTCTTCTGCGGACGGCTCCTCTTCCCTACCTGACAGGCCACAAAGACTGTGAGTTTTGAAAAAAGGATTAGCACGTGTTCATCGCGTCCTCTTTTCCTACCTGAAGCACGTAAAGAGGTCTTCCTTCATATGACTTCCCAATAGAGAACATAGCAACCAGATTGGGATGGGTTCTGTTCATCTCAAACATCCAGTTCTGTATCTTAGAGGGAGAAAACCGTTAGGATGGTGGTTATTATCCAAAGCTGTTTCATAGGGCCTGCCGCTGTTATGAGCTGACAGCCGGATTAGCCTGAGTAAACAAACACTCAAAGCTTTCGAATTGTCATGGTGGGCTTTCCATCTACCTCTTCCAGAGAGTGGTAAACCTCGTAGTCATACTGAAACTCTGACCTCCGCTTGCGAGACGAGCGATAACCGGTCTGCTTTTCGATTTCTTTCTGCAGATTGTTGATGAGAACCCTGGGTGAAAAAGAGACAGAAACAGCCACACATGATGCATGTGATAGCAAACCACTGCAGCAGAGTCACACTGTCAGAAGAGACAGAGATATCCAAGTGCAAAAACACACACAGATTATTGTGTTTGATCCAACCTATCGAAAATGAAGCATTTAAAAGCAAATGTTGGATGTGTTTGTGGTACCTAAATGCATACAAGATAACTTTGCTGTCTTATTTTAACTAGAGCCTGGTTTTCGGAGTAGCTGTAGATTAACTAAATGTGCAGGTAGAATGTTTACATAGGATTTCTTTAACAGCTAGTGCTCAGGTATGAAACGGTGGATCAGATATTCTGGATTTAATGTTGACTGGTGACATCAGCACTCAAAATGTTGGACCGCGAAAAATGAAAATTACACTTTAATTACAGTATTATCGTCCTGGCATGTTTAAAGACTCCTCTCATGTCTGACCCTTTCTTCTTCACAGCAAACCCCAAACACACACAGATGATGTCATATTCTGCCGGGAGTCACGTATGCAGACTAAACTACACCTTTTCCTCTTTCTGTATAGATTTCAGTACATGAAAGCAGCTCAGTAATTTGGAGTTTTTATGCTCCATTCTTTAAAAATATCTATCACTAATCAAGTATTGTCCACTAGGTAGGGAATCTTTTTTGAAAAATCTACAGTGAGCCCACACAAACCATCCTCCTCTCTCTTAGGATGAGATGACAATGAAAGTCTTTTAGCTGTGGTTGCTTTGATAAAAAAAAAAAAACTCCATCATTTCAACACTAATTTTCATGAGAAATGGTGTAGAGAGATGAAGGAGTCTAGTATGCAGCAGATAGAAAAAGAGCTCTGATTTACTGTTTGACTGGGGTTACATGTATCCCGTCTCTTAGGCAGCACAACAGCTTTTATATGCAAAGTTAGGGCCAACACTGCATGTGAGAATCATATTTTCTGCTGTCTCGGGGATGCTAGGTCATTGCAGTGACATTTGGAAAACAGATGTGTGTCAGGTTATTGAGACTGAACAGAAGACTTCTCAGATAGGAGTAGGTGTGCATTTGAGCCATCTCTGGACTTACCGGTAGTTCATTCTTTCCTGTTTTAAGCCCCTATGCAAACGCTGTGTGTCATCCCGTTTCACGTGAACGTCCACAGTGGCGTTGTGGTGGATTAGGGAGACACTGTTGGGCTGCCAGAAGTCCACCTAAGGCAGCAGGTTGAATATGTTAGGTCAAAGGGTAAACTGACACAGGCATACACACGTCTGGCCCTGTCATCAGATGTTGGTTAATTATGTAAATGTTAGATTTGGATTAGCAACAACAACATTGAGAAACTGAATTATGATTCTATTATTAACCCTATCATGCCAATTGCATCATATTTGATGCATACGCTCTCTGAAATCCTTTGTATCTGAGACATTTTACTTCATTTAATAGTAAAAACTTTGCTAAAAACCCTGTTGTACACAAACAGATATAACTGATAATAGCAGGAAAAAGACTACACGACGATAATGTTGACTTATAAATATTCCAAAATTCCAAATGTGTATTTTTTCCCCCCACATTTTGTGAAAGGGCCAAAAGAAGACTTTAGACAAAAAAATCTCTATTTTCTCTTGGATCAGGCTTTAAAGGGTGAATTTCTGGACTTGTATGTTATCAAACAATTCAATGCAAGTAATATCAGATTCATATTCATTTGAACAGGGTGAATCAGCAGTAAGTGTGTGTAGATGTTTTCAGTGCATCTCGATTTTGTGTAAATTTGCAGTTAAATTCATCCCTCAGAGGGGAAAATATATAACTTTTCAGCATACTCTTTACTCTGCTCACATCTTTTGTTCAAGGATATTGTTGCAAAAATCATTCATGATGACACTTGTTACCTGCAGTGCTGACTTCATCGTGTTCATGTAAATCAATTGGCTTATAGAAGATCTTCTTATAAAATGTAAAAACAGTTTGACATAGCGTCACACATTTGACAGTAATGAGTAAAACTGTTTAGTTAAGCCTGAGACGGTTTAGCATTCCTCCAGTGAGTGATGAGGTGAATCCTGGAACGTTAATGACTCTTCAGCAGTAGTGGGACAGAAGCCAATAAGCATCAGTGATAAATGACTATTCCTCAGCTCTCTTCTTCCTGTGTGACACCAATTAGCAAAAACTATACCGTGAGTCTGCCTGTTGTCCAGCTGGGGCTGTCATGATGCTCGCCCCAGCTAAAACAGACAAACAAAGACGCTCTCCAGCCAGACATGAAACATCCTGATAAGATGATGAGATAACAGCGGGACGGTAAAAGAAGAAAGAAGCAGTAAGCACAAAAGTGTTTTTCAGGCAATGATCTACCAATGACCCAAAGGGAATATTCAAACCCAAAGTTTCCTATGATGAACATCCTCAGCTGGCTTTCATTTGTGGCATGGGGGCAGACACATGCAGGCTGGCACACATGCTTGTTAATGTGTCAATTGGTTTAATAGTTTACAGAATGCATACCAGATTAATCTGACATTGTTTGGAGCCAGAGCGAAAACCATCGGCTGGAATGTTTGGTGCCCTCAAGTATAAGCCCCTCTCTGCTGCTGCACTTTTATGATGTTTCCAAATGGTTAAGTGCCCCAAATGTTTGGGTGCTGCTCCCCTGTTAGCAAAACAAATCCAAAACACATATGCCAAAAGGGCACTTAAACGTCCCTCATCAGGTTATACGACTTCTCAAGTTAACAGTTTATAGCCGTATTTATGAGCCTGAAAGATGCAGTATTGGTCTGCTTCATAAAGTTTTTATCTCCTGATTGTTTATGCATCTGTTTACGCAGGGTAGCTATTAATGATTGAATGTGCTTTGCCTTGTTTGATCTGGTGCAGGAAAGGAAAGAAGAAAGTAATAGTTTAATAAAGAAAACCGAGCGGGCTCTTCATGAGGGCAGATGGGGTGACGCTGCAGCTCAGCGTTTGGATGTCAAGTAAATGAAAAAAAGTTCGGCCAAGAAGGAAAAGGAAAGAAAATGTCTGTTTCCTATTTTTAAGTCGAACCAAATCACTCTAAAAACAACATTTATGTAAAAAGAAAATGTGTTTAGTTGTTTAGCTGTGCTCAGTTTAAGTTTGACCAACTGGGGTTTTTTTCTGTGCTGCTCCTGACAGAGACAGAAAGTAACAATGATATCCAATGAATAAAAAAAAGTGTTGAAAATAATTACTGTTTTATTCCATTAGTTCTAAAATATTGATCCAGATAAGATGGAAGTTTTTTGTTTGATTCACTCAGTGCTTCTGTCTGTTAGCAGCCAATGATGTTTAACCAGCAAAACGAATAGAATAGGAACAGTTTCATGGCGTCATGTAAATGTGATGAGTCTTTGCATTTCCAATGAGGCATTCATGGGACACTAAATCAAGATGCTTATTATAATCTACAAGCCCCACCAGTAATATGACACGCAGTGCAGAACAGCAGACAGCATACACATTAGCATAGATCTATGAGCACACAATCAGTGATAGCATAAAGACTGTGGGTTGCTGAGTGTTAGCACAGATGTGAGCACTGAAGGGGTTTTGTTAAGGGAAAAAAGTCCCCTGTAATTAATAAAGTTACAGTTTTGTACTTGAGAATGTTTGCAATGTACTGGCACTGCATAAATATCTTTCTGCAAAATCTAATTTACACATATTTTTGAGAATTAAATGTGATCTAATTAAAATCCTATTACCCTTTGTAAATACTTTATGATAAATACAGGAAACCTGCTTACAGTTTGCAGTTATCCTGCTGTCGTATTATCCAAAATACACCATTAAAGTTGAGTCGTGTATATGAATACACAGTAAAGATTTGTGTTATCTTAAAGGAAAATAGTTTACTATGCCGGACGATGCATTTAGATTCCCCTAAAGAATATCTATGCATAGTTTCTGTAGCTGAGATATTCTTACACTAACATTTGCTTCTGTTAAACACCCAGCTCTGGATTGTTTGCTGGGAATGATCCACCCACCACTGAACATTTGGACCAGCAAAATGCTCTCACATGAATAGAAAAGTTAAGAAACATAAAACATTTTCCTGTTATCACACCTAAAAAAATCCCCGGTCATTCTGTTTAGAATGGCTCTGACACTTGATTCACCTGCATTCTTCAGTGAACCGTGTCGAACATCAGACGCAGTCTGAACCTGACAAGTTCTCAAGCACACTGGAGGTAGGGCAGCGTGACTGAGTTACTGAGAACACACGTCTGCAGCTGTTCAAACAGTAGCTGCCGCCGCCTCAGACGCTTGTGCAGGACCACGTTCCAGCTCGTACATCGAGGTCAGGCCAAAAGTTGACCGGAGGGCTGCCTCTCCTGGAGCCCCTCAGTGTGCACCATGCATATTGACTGAGCCCTCTTTTGATCCAGTCCGTCTCCCTTTTACCTGAAGCCATATGGAATTTGCATATATTGTGCTAAAAAAAATCAGAAACCATGTGGACTGCTCAAGGGCAGATATTCTCTGAGGTTAAAGTATCCTCTTAAAAGATTCTTAAATGTTTACAATGGTTGGATTCTTTAGTATTTATTCAATTAATTACTTCTTTAGTTGTTATTTCTGTAAGCTTGACTTAAATCTTTTCAATAAAAGCACTGTTGTGATTACAAGCACGTATTGACTGAGTTGTACAGTTACATCTCAGAACTGCATCTCTCTTTTCCCTATAATCAATAGCAGATTATACTTGCTTCCAGCGATAATTCAAAATAATTGTAGCACGGACCAGTAAGATCAACTGATAAATTCTGAAGACACAATACAGGCGTTTGACTCAGGCTCCCTCTCTGGATACAAACAAAGGCATTGGGTTGCACAGCTGTTAATTCAGTTCTCGTCTCCAACATAGTTGGTTGGGCATAATTTCTGAAAATTGTCCTCAGCATTGGTGAAAATAATACAAGTATAAATCTGTTGTTTAGCCAGTCAGTCGTTGTATAATTTGTTGACAATGCATCTTTTAATATGCATTTCATGCTTTGCAAACAATCAGTGCTGATGAATTAGCAAACTACAACCCCGTTGCTCCCGACAATGACGGATAATTGCTTCCAAATGAGTTTGGGAAAGGAGGCGAGGCCTCTCTGTCCTCTGGGGGTTCCCACCTAATTTCAGTATCTTTGAAACACGTGTTCATTCTGTAAATCATCCAAGCAGTCCTGAATACTGTGAAAAAAACTCCACCCCCTACATGTTTCTCTTGGGGTTTGTCTTTGAAACTGTTACTGAGTGTAATCGCACATCACCCCCCACAAACTTCAAGATCCTGCGCTATGGGAGGTTCTGCCATCCAAATATCATAGAGAGACATAGAGAGGTCATAGAGTACTCTAGCAAGCAGTTAATGAATTATAGCAGGTACTAAAATTTGAATACTCAGTTGAAAACTAGCCAAGTGAATCTGAGGGGAGAAGCCTTAAAATGTCTGCTGCGGATTTCTCATGAATATTGTAATGCTTCATGTGAAAGAAAACGAGAGTGTGTCAAGTGTGAGGAGGTTACAAAAAACAGGGCTGACCTTCATCCGTTCCAGAATTTTCTTGAGGGCCCCGACCTCCGTGTAATTACTGGGAGTGATCCTGAAGACTTGATCGCTATGAAAACAAAACAACTCCTGTAAGCGATGCGTTATGACTGGAATCAAGATGCCCTGTAGGGTTTTTACAGCACTTACGTTCCCTTTGATCTGCCCTGAGAGCACTTCATTTTTAAAAACATCTGGGGCACAGAGTCAGGGAATGAAAATGTCTTTTGTGCCAACTGAAGGTGACACTTAGAACCGCAGATGTGAGGCGGTGAAATGGGTGTTTATGCGTTCAGAGTCCTGTAGATGACAGGGTCAACCTCAAGCCAAACAATCTGCCGGAGACATCATTATGGGATTATGTTTCCAGCTCTGCGGGTAGCACCTGGAACAGGTTTCTGGCAGATGCAGTAGCAGCAGCTGTTTACATCTTCATGCCGCAGCTCCAAACATCTACTAATGTGATTAAATGTCAAACAGCTACAGCAAATATTATGTGTTTTTCCTCATCTTCCTTAAATAAACAATTATGAATTAGTTCAATAGGTTTCCCAAGTTCCAGATCCAACTTAATGCATTGTTTTCCATTCTGTGAATACGTATTGTTCAGGTGGCAACAAAGCTTCTTTATTCACAGGCACCATAAAGGGAAAGGTGAGTTTCCACTGTGTCTGTGGTTACATAAAACCATACAGAGATGGTTCATGGTAAATTTTAGCTTGTGGAAAGGTTTGAGTTTGTCGAAGCTCGAAATTAAACTACAAATGTATGTGTATGTGTGTGTGTGTGTGTGTGTGTGTGTGTGTGGTGGGGGGGGGGTAATGATTTTGTTCTGTTTCTTTAAACAAGCATGAAGAAATATTCCCTTCCAACAGTGGCAGAAAAAAGGAAACTGTAACAGGACACATCAGTTAAATGAGATATGATTTATTTAAAAAAACAGTGATCTCACCAGGTAATTGAAACATAAACTGTAAGAAGAGAAGCTTGACAAGGCAGCAAATCACTCCTGCTATCTTGCCTTGCAGTGAAACAAAGGCGCCTTCTCTCCTCATCATAAGTCTCACTTAGCGTTGCTTTTATGCTGCAAATGAAACTTCTCTGGGACTGACCTTAAAGCTGCCGTGCTGGCCGTAATTGGTTAGGCCGTCTAACTGACAGTCTCTTGTGTCCAGTGTGTCGTTAAGCATCTCGCTCTCATGTATTTCACTTCTTTTCAAATAGCTTTTTATAGCCTGTCACACAGGAAGCCGGGCCCCGTTAGACAAAGGTGGCGACGGGCTGTTCGGAAGTTTAAGGCAAAAAAGGATCAAGGTGTCCCACATGAGTGGCTGCCTCGCTTCAGTGGCCGGAGATCCCCGTTTCCACGGCTGCAGCACTGAAGCAATATGGACAGCAGCTACTTTTTGAGTTAAAACTAGTGCTTGGAGTACGGGAATGTGATTAAAACTGAGAGTCTCTGTGGACAGATGTCAGGATTGAAACTGAATATTGTAAAGCTCACGTATTTCCAATCCGGCCTGAGGTCATAGGACTTCAGAGCTGTGCAACATACAGTTCTCGGCATCCCGGGACTCTACGGCTGAAATCAAACCATTTCTTTTTCTTTCAAACCATTGATGACGGACTGTTTTTGTTCCCATGTTGTCCTTGGAAAGGCTGTCTTTGAGATGTCAGCCAGTTGCCTGTCACTGCAGAGCTCTCCACTCTGATCGTTTTCAGTGTGCTCGAATTGTGGAGTCTTTTGTAGCATTTACTAACACGGATGGACGTCATCAAAACATCTGTGTTGCCTTTTCTGAGCTGTCACCTCAAATAATACAAGGCATGAAGCATGGGATAGAAGCAAAATTAATGTATTTTAAAAGCCAAAGGAGGGGGTTTCCACTAGCGGTGGTCTCCCTTTGGCCCTGCCAAACTACATCAAAGGCTCTTTTGATCAGACCATAAATATCTTTACATGCCCCAGTTCTGCTTTTTACACATTAACTCAGATTACTCTACAGGTGGACCCAGCTGAAGTCTCCAGACTATGGAATTTCACATCCAAGAGTAAAGTTTCGAAGCTCTTTTAGATCTAAAGTGGGATAGTTTACTCCGCACTCAGCCACATAAACTGGCAAGACAAGACCTCTGACCAAAAGAAAATCACAGAAAGTGGCTTTTATGTAATCATGCTAACACAAGGCCACACAAAGAGAGCTTGGAGCAGCTGTCTCCCATTTTTGAAATGTCGAGACCGCAGTTGACTCCAGCATCCTTTGTGTTGCCCATGTGAAACAAAATATGACAGATAAAGCCCTATCCAAACGGCATCAGACAGCCGAGTCAGCATAAAATAAAACAAACTACACGCATGATATGGTGTCTTAGCAGGAACTCTGTCCCGAAAACGATGGAGATGATGAGCTCAAAGGCTTTCTTTGTTAGACCTCTCCAGACAACACGACATCAAAGTCGAGAGACGACTTGCGATAAGAGCGCATCGCTGAGCGTCTCCTCTAATCTCACCCCACGTTTCCCTCCTGTAGTCCCACGGATGAATGAGCGGGTGGGTCACTCACCCTGCGTAGCGGTTGTTGTAGAGATACGCACGGACGGGGCATGGCACGTAGCTGCAGATGACCGCGCAGCCCAGCAGCACCGAGGCGCCAAATGCCGTCCTGTGGTCCAGAGCCATCCTTGACCCGCACGGCGGAGACGGAAGATACTTTGAAGGATGCGGGTCAGCTACACAGAGACTCTGAGGGCTCTGCGTCCATCAGCACACCCGCGAAATCATGGCGCTGCGCCCTGCTGTGCCCGGGGGGGATCTGCCGGTGCCAATGGAACCATCAACCACCTCTGTCAAAGCTCTGGAGTATTTTTTGCAGAGTAGCAGCTCTTTTTTAAATGAGGAGGACCCTGGTCACGTGGTCTGGAACTCTGAAACTAGACCTCCTTGTGGCGCGCCCCGTGCGCTCCGGGGGAAATGTGCGCACTCTCAGAAATGCAATTCGCGTTTATATTTCGGGTAATGCGTGAAGTCCGTAACATGATTTCCGTTGAAGGAACAGCCTTTTTTTGGACTAAATTGAAAGACAATCTGAGAGTTTTCACGCCGTTGCTGAGTTCCTTCTGGTCTACAGGAAGAAAGAAACTTTCATTTTTCAACTTGATCCTTCCCAAAGACATTCAGTCAGTCAGAGAAACACAAGAGGATAGTTTGTCCATTTGGTTTCAAAGTGTCCACTGAGCCCCTTAATCTTGTATCCTTGTAGAGCCTCCAGTCGGTGCCTTGACATGGATCCAGCCGGAATTCCTCTTCACTGCTGTGGACTGCCCTTCCTTTTGTTCCAGGAATTTCATGCCCCTGTTTGATCCTCCACTTATCACCCAACTCGGCCTCTTTCTTTTGTGGCAGCACATTTTACACATGCTTCCCTCCAGTATCAACATGGTGCCACCTGTTTTTGTGCAGTTACACACCCAGCTAACAGTGAGCCCTCCCCTGGTCTCTATTCCTCACAAAAAAGCAAAACATGGACATTCAAATTCAAGATAAAGATTAATATAAAAATATTGAGAGGGAAAAGTCTATATTTTAAAAAACAATAATCTGGATTTTGTCTGTTTTTACATCAGTTTTTGACTATCTTAAAAAAAAATGTTAGAATGTGTGTTCGTATCCCCCGGAAAAGTTTTGAAATGAAGAAAATTTGAAAAAATAAGTGGCAGCATGCTTCCAAACTGTTGACTCCCACCCAAACATGACCCCGATGGCGCTCTGAGGATAAGATTCAGGTCCCAAAACAGATGACATGGTGTCCTTCTCTGACCCACGTCTTTACTTCAATTAGAATTTTTTCAACATGCCCTTTTAATCTCCGATACTTCTTGAGTTTTCGTGTGTTCGCTGCATAAACCAAATTTGATTTAGGGAGTGCAGTTCATTTAAACCAATAAAAGAAAATCCTCCTCTGAGTGAAAAGTTTAACCAAAGCTTAAACTGAATGTACCATGGTTAAATGTGAGTGGCTTTTCATAACATAAAACCATGAAGGTGAATTTATTTCAGCAGCTTGACAGCTGCACACAGAAGCATATTCATAAAAATCTTGCTTGGCCTCCCATGTATATCACGTTCGGGGAGCAAAAAGGCTGGCGCGGTCCTACTGTAACATTGGCCGCTGGTTGAGGCAGAACGTGCTGGGTGCTGTGATGCACGCCACCACCTGGACTCAGTTTGATGTTGTTTTTAGTGCTCAGGCCTGCATTCCTGAGCGTGTGGCACTGCTCTAAGCTCTGGGCTGTGGTCTGCACAGAGGAGGAAGAACCAAGCATCCTTTTTAGAGCTGAATGTTACTTAAAAAAAAATAAATCCTACAGTGGCACCAAGGACCCGTAAATCACTATTTTCCTGCCCGCGTCTCGGACTGTGCTGAAGGGTGTGAAAGAGCCCTTTGACAGACACCAGAGTTCTGGTTTGGGAGTAGATGAGTGAGGTCTGGTTAAGCTGTGGGGCCTGACCGGAGCTGTGAATGCATATCTTTGACCCTGAGCAGAGGAGTGAAATACAGGCTGGCTTTGGCATGGGTCAGAGATGGAACCGAGCCTGAGGAGGCAGCTCAGAGAGGGCCATCAGGCAGCCAGAGACATCCGTCACCCGCTCTCTGAATGCAGAACTTTCGAGGACGACTGACAAAAGACTTTGAGTAAATAAATAAATCCGCAGTCAGCAGATCAGAGTGTTCAGTAATCATCTTGAGACATAAAATGGATGAAAGTTTGGTTCATACATCTGCGGCCCACAGACTTCCGTCTTTGATTACAAAGTATGGAGACTTGCTTACAGCAACAGAAATCAGGATGCATTACAGGGGATCTTGGCAGCAGAGCGTGTTGGTTACAGTGGAGGAAAGGAGTCAATAAAGTGGAGGAGTAGGAGCAACGTGAAAACGGAAACTATTACCTGCTCAGGCCTGCAGTTTTCTCCATTTTAGGACCATTAAACAAAACGATCTATATGCTATTATGGTCCCCATAAACCAACACAGATTTTTCCCATGATGGATTTTTAGAGACCCGAGAGGTTTAGTTATTCACTGATTCATGAAAAATATATACAAAAAACTCAGGAATAGGATACCACATACAGCAATTTTCTTTTTGTCTTCTAGATTGATTTCTTCATCGGGGAAGCACAGTTAGCTTCCTCACATGTTTAAGTGAAAGCCTTCAATTCTTAAGCGGGGGGGTGGGGGTTCAGGATGAACATTTAGAATCCCTGGAAATCTGATTATTTACAGCTAACTTCGCCTACCTAAGAAGATCAAATTATGGGGCCAGGGTAAAGACACTTAATTTAAGAAAAGAGGCATTTTGTAACTTACAGTCACTGTAAGATGGAAAAACTCAGGGACTGAAATTCCTTTATACTCACAATATGTTACAGAGTTAGTAAGAAATCAACAAAAGTTTTTAGCTTGATTCCAACATTTCCTCCATTGCTGCAGAACTTTGATCGTGTCATAATGATTTGGTTTATTCTGATAGGTTCTGTGGGAGACTACATTCAATGAAAAAAGCAGACAGTGCTCCTCATAAATATCTGAAATAGATGGGTCTATGTGGGAAAATGTGAAGATTCATATTGTAGGTTTCATAAAATAGGCGATCTTAACACAAAATGATCTGGTACAAAAGACTGAACCTTTATCTCCAGCTGACCTGTTTTGCTCACTTGGTTCACGAATGAATAAATTAAATGTCATATATGGCTTTGAAGCAATCTCAGTTTTTTCCAACAATATTTCATGTTTTATATCCTGTCAAAATCCAATAGGAAAAAAAAACCCTCTCTATGCTGGTTTACTTAAGTAACTTAAACTGGAGCAAGTCTCACCTATATCTTTAGTAACCGCAGCAGGAGCTTTTGTGGTAAATCTGTGAATGAAATTAATAGAAAAATACAATTTTTGTCTTGTGATTTTGATGAACTCTCACAACAGAGAAAACAGCAGCTGTGCAGAACTGGGAATGAAGCAACTGAGTCAAAGGACTTTAAGAATAATGGATGTAGACAAGCAGGTCTGTGTTTGGAACATACCAGGACTTTATTACGCCACTTATCTTGACCTCTTGTCGCGCACCATTGCAAAATGAACCGGTGAAAATGAGCCACAATGCAGTGATTGTGACCCACTACTGCTCACATTTGAGAATGAATGCTTCTTTTATAGTAGGAAGTCACTCACTCAAGGTTTAGATCTGCGAGTAAACCACTTTTTTTTACTATATATAACGTGTATATAACATTCTACAACTTTGTACGCTATACAAGCAGTAAAGTTCTGCTAAAAAAGGTCTCTGGGTTTCTCTCATAAGCTGGTAAACTGTGAAGCCTAAATGTGGGTTGGATGCTCATGTCAGTGTAAAGTAACAACGTTATCACCAAAAGTGGCCGCACACACAGCACCAGTCAACCCCACAGGCTCCAGTCAGGGGGCATAAAAATGTGACGGCCCGGAGATTTACCTGAGGTTGACTGGTCATCATAAAGAACTGTACTGAAGCTGCTGTGCTGCAAAACCTGCAGCAAGTTTCAGGATCACATTTCAAATGAGAGCCAGCACTGCCCTCTGGTGGCAGCAGAGCATCAGGGAGCCTCCGTCCTGAAGCCTCCCCCCAACACGCAGTACCCCATCTGAGCAGCAGAGTATAGCACACGTCAAGATTTCCTCTTCTTTTAGAGCCATGTCCTCATCCCAGCTCCAAAACTGGAGGACACCAATTTGCAACAGAGATCTATGACAGCTCAAAAAAAAAAAAAAGACTCCCCCTGGTGCTGATTCATAAGGACACTTAAATTCTCCCTTTTTATTGTCCTTCCCTCATGGAGCACAGCGCATGCATTGACTGCAGAGTGGATCTGGCTGAATCCTCCCTGGTAGAGATGCTAATCCCTGTCTCAGCTGCAGAAAAATCTGCTCTAAAAATGTAAAGCTGGTGTAATAAAGCAGGTTTTAGTGTTGATCTTGTTCATATTTACCCAGGCACAAAATGGCTCTGACTGTGTCTAATTCAATATAAAAACACTTAACTGTCATCTCAAGAGGCTGGTTGAGCTCTGCAGAGTTTGGTGGGAGAATGAGGAGTCTGTGCACAGTTTTTAGCTCCCACTAAGAGGATATCCGGTCCTAATCAAACGCAGTCTGATTAATTAAATATCAGTGTTTGGATCTTCGTAGATCCCTGTTTGTTTCATTTGTTGTGACCGCGAGAACATAACAGGATTCACCTGCTTTGGAAGCCATAAGATTCTATATTTACTGTTGAAATATAATACTATTTATTAATCACCAAAAAGAAAAGTCCACTGCTGTAAACTCTTAATTCAGCAATACGAACTCTTACAGTTAAATACATCTCAAATGTAATCGTGGTTGACAACATTTGACAAAGACAGCAGCCAATAATACCAATACCATAATTCCACCACATGTGAGGAAACATATTTTCTTTCAGTCTGTCCAGCCACCTGTAATGAACTTCTTCTGAAATGAAATGTTTTGGATTCTGTGTTGTCTCCCTTGTTAGTTAACAAACAAAAGTAAAGAGGCCGCTCGGTGGTCCTCTTGTGGTTGGGGGCGGGTTTCAGATTTCATGCAGCACACATCTGATCTGTTCTTATTTCAGCAAGATAACACAAAAAAATGAAACACTGATACTCTGTCATTGATTTTTACAGACTTTGCTGTCTGAATGCTGCCTGGATTTGAATATTGATGATACAAAAGTGCACACCACACCTGATATTTAGAGGAAGGTTGTTGGCTCACCGTCTGTGTGCATCCACTGAGCTGATATTCTTCCACTGAGCTGATATTCTTCCACTGAGCTGATATTCTTCCACTGAGCTGATATTCTTCCACTGA